GGCACCCATGCACACCTTCCTCCTCTCGCCCCCTCCTTCCTCCCTTCCTTCCTTCCTTCCTTCCTTCCTTCCTTCCTTCCTTCCTTCCTTCCTTCCTTCCTTCCCATTCTCCTCCCTCCCTCCCTCCCTCCCTCGGAGAAAAGGCTGTGCCAGTGGCTCTTCATTCAGGTCCCCACCAGTTGGATGTCCTGCATGAGTCACGGGAACCTCCTGTTCCCTCACTGACACTGTGGGGGGCAGTGAGCAATGGTGGCCAGACAGCCAAGGGCTTTGAGGGCCTCTCCGCTGCCAGATCCTGATGTGGAACGTTTCTTTTGCTCTTGGAGTAGGGCTTGAAGATTATTGACTTGCAGATGCCCGACTACCTGCGCATCCTGGAGACAGCTATCCAGTTTGGCTCTCCGGTGCTGCTGCAAAACGTGCAGGAGGAGCTGGACCCCACACTGGCCCCCATCCTGAATAAGTCTGTCACCAAAGTGGGTGAGCGCCAGGCTGCTGCTTGGAGCAAGGCCGTGGAGTCCCTTGGGAGAGGGTTGGGCCTTGACCGAGGTGCTCCCCCAAGTAGCCCCTGACTTGTCCTGTGTGTGGCAGGTGGGCGCTTGCTGATCAGGCTGGGGGACAAGGAGGTGGAATATCACCCCGAGTTCCGCTTCTACCTCACCACCAAGCTCTCCAACCCACACTACACACCAGAGACCTCCTCGCAGACCACCATTGTCAACTTTGCGGTCAAGGAGCAGGTAGGCCCCTTGCCCAGACGCCTCCTGGCTGGCGCTGTGGGACCTTCCTGCTTTTCTGGCTCTGGGGTGGGAGTGGGGGAGTTGGGTGAAATACTGACTTGGTGCCCTGTTCCTTTCAGGGCCTGGAGGCCCAGCTGCTGGGCATTGTGGTCCGGAGGGAGAGGCCCGAGCTGGAGGAGCAGAAGGACTCGCTGGTGCTCAACATTGCAGCGGGCAAGAGGAAGCTGAAGGAGCTGGAGGATGAGATCCTCAGGTGGGGGGCAGGCCTGACCCTTCCTTGGGGGAGGGATTCATAACTTCTAGAGCGCTTCCTGCGTAACGGCTTACGGGGTTGCATGAGCAGCGCCTCCAAAGATCTAAAACTGCAGCAAAACTGAAGACGGATTTGAAAGAAGATTTAAGAAAAGAAAAGAGGTAGCCTTTGAGCTTTGGGTGCGTCGGGGTCAGCCCAGGGCGGGCCGCTGCTTCACCCCACCTCCTGACGGAGCTGCTGGGGCTGTCCTGGCAGAGGGGAGCGCGAGGTCTGTGCGTTGCTCAGCCCCCAGCCTCCTGCCCTCAGGTTGCTGAACGAAGCCACGGGCTCCCTCCTGGACGACGTGCAGCTCGTGAACACCTTGCAGACCTCCAAGCTCACGGCCACAGAAGTCACCGAGCAGCTGGAAACCAGCGAGATGACTGAGATCAAAATTGACACGGCTCGGGAGGCGAGTACCCATGTTGCTGGCCTGCCTCCACAGGATCCTCTTTGGCCGAAAGGAGCCATAGAGGGGGAAGGCATGACAGCCCCCAAGGCTGCTGCTCCAGCCTTCCGGCGTGGGGCATGGGGGGGCTCCCTGCGGCCATCCTCTGGTTGTTCGCTCACTGGCCCACTGCGGTGCTCCTGTAGGCCTATCGGCCGTGTGCTCAGAGGGCCTCCATCCTCTTCTTCGTCCTCAACGACATGGGGCGAATCGACCCCATGTACCAGTTCTCCCTGGATGCCTACATCGACCTCTTCAACCTCAGCATTAACAAGAGCCATCGGAGCAACAAGCTGGACGAGCGAATCCGCCATCTCAATGAATACCATACCTACGCCGTCTACAGGTTCGCTCCCCCTTCCGCCAGCCCCCTGGCCACGGGCAGAGGAAGGGCTCCTAGCACTACAAATCAGAAGGCGCCAGCCACCCTTCCACTGTTCCTGGTGAAAAGGGTGGGAAGGGTGGCACGTGGCCTGGCCCCTCCTCCCTGTACAGGTTAAAGTTTGCGGCTAAGCAGTTCCGCAGCGAGTCACCCCCTTCTGCTGATGTGCCCGGAGACGGACTCTTTTCCTGCCCTTTCTCCTTGCCACGGAGTCCTCTCGGTGGGGCCAGAGTCAGGTTCAGGGGCCCGGTTCCCTGCTTCCCTTTCCTTGAGATTAGGGGAAGATGAGCTGACTTCTGCTCCCACAAACCCTGGGAGCTCGGTCTTCGTGCAGCGAGGCCTGAGAGTCTGGTAGGGAGCCTCTCCACGGCTTCTTCTTCCCCCCCCCCCCCCCCCC